TGAAGAACAAGAGAAAATCCTTGTATTTTGACTATCTCCTAAGAATATTATGATACATCAACATGTGTCAGTCTTATTTTTCTAATGACAATTTTATTGATCAAAATTGAAATTTTTTAGTTGGTGGTTTTGATTTTGGTGAACGTGCTCTTATTACAAATGAATCTCGAAGTGCAACTGTCATGACAACTATACCAACAGATTTATTAGTTGTTGATCGTGAAGTTTTTAGTCGGTATATAATTAATATATTTATTATGAATTTATTCGTATTTCTAGCTTTTCTTTTTCTACTATAGAACACTTAAATCAGCACATGAAAAAGAATTACAAGAAAAAACTGAATTTATTAATCGATGTCCTTTATTTTCTTCATGGTCAGCAAGATTGAAACGTCTCGTCAGTCTAAGTTTAGAACGAGGTAGATTTGCATATGATAGTGTGCTATACAAACAAGGTACATTTGCTGATGCTGTCTATTTTATATGGAGGTAAAGTAAATTTTCTATTTTTTTTTTGTCTGAAATTTTTATCTAAAATTTTCATTACATCAGTGGTGAAGTGAAAATAACTATAGATCCATTACTTCATTGGCTTCAATATCCACATCTTCTTCCACAATCCGATCCAATGAAACAGTAAATATCATTTGCTTATGCTTGTTTTTCTTTAATATTTTTTGAAAAATATATATATATATATTTAGACGTGCTTTTGAATTATTTCTTCCAATGCTTCAATTTACTTGTCCAATAGATACTGTATCAAGAGAAAGTTTTGCTATAAAACGACGTTATATGACATTTGCTGAAGCTGAAAAAGAACGTTCACATCGTAATAGACAAGTTGCTTTATTAAATACAGGTGATATTATTGGTCTTGAATCTTATGTATGTGATTTAACTACACATATGAATTCTGCAAGATGTACAGCTCCATGTGATCTTTTTTATATCTTAAAACATAATTTTATTCGTTTACAAAAACGTCATGGTACACAAGGTCTTAGTGAACGTTTACGTGAAATTGTACTTCTTTCGCTTCAAGCCTATCCACAACGTATACTACATTTACCATTATTTAATTCTTTAATGAAACGACAATTAGCACCAATAATCAATGATGAACAACAACAATATCATGTTAAACAATCATGGCTTTTTCATATTCATAATGCAGCTCATTCTGTTTGTTTCATATACATATATGTATTTTTATTTGAATTTATTATTAAATAAATTATTTAGAATACCCGTCGAATAGGCACAACATTAGCACATGCATCAACAACAAATAATACATCAACCACACGTTTGTATCGTTCAACACCGTTGGGAAGTGCAGCTGCAATACAATATGTTACAAATGATCACGCTCGTCTTAGTAAAATAGAAGATCGTCTTAAACAATGGCATGCACAAATGGGTGATGATTCAAAAACACAAATACGTTCATTAACACGTTTTGTAAAATTTTAACTTAACAATAGAACTTCGTATTTTTTCTTGTTTATTTTTTTATTGTAGAATGTTGCGTGTGCAACAGGAAGTGCTCTTACACATACATCACCATCGGATGCATTAGAATCACAATCCGATGCTAGCGGTGTTTCATCGAGGTAAACAAATTAGCTTGTGAAAACAAAAAGCCTTATGCCATTGTTGAAAACATAAACTAATGTTCTTTTTATTGATACACATAAAATAGAAAATTTATATTTTAACCTTAGTATAAGGTTGAAACTTAACTCATCGTTTGAACTCATATTGCGCCTATAAGGAAGTTTTGACAAGGCTAAAAAGTCTTAAAGAATTTATCTCTATGGACTCCTCGAGCCGAGTTATGACCATTTTACTGAATTTTCGATCCATTTTTAGGTATTCACTGAAAAATCAACAAATGAAATTCCGACCTGAAATTCAACTCATAGATAGATCTAATGACCCTTTAGATGATGTTTTCGGTAAATATCTAAAAGTGAATCGAAGATTCAGTGACATAGACACAATTCGATTCTAAAGACTCACAAGTACCGACGCTTTTAAACTTTTTTCTAGTCTTACAAGGACTTCTTTGTGAGATCAATACAAATTCAAAAGGCGGATTAAAGTTTGGATAATTTCCGCATTATTAAATATATATAAAATTGAATGATTTTATCCATATAACATTTTCGCTACAGATACTTTTTCTTTATTAGACCGTTATATTTATTCTTACACTTGTATAAAATATATATTATTTATGTAATAGCAGCACATCCGGTGATGGTAATGACCAGACTGTTCCTGTTGAAGGCCTTATGGAAGCAGCTAGCAGCATGAAGGAACCTCTATCAACACATTCATTTGTAAAGTTCATTAGATTTGTTATATATTTAAATACAAAAATATATTTAGAGTGCATCTTCGTCTTCAACAACTCATTTACCTCAATTACGTATTTATACGAAACAAGAACGATATGAAGATCTCCGAGCTTATCTTAAACAAGCATGGAAAGAATATCTCAAACGACCTATTCCAACTGTTTATTGACATACACTAGCTCCGAAAATTATTCGAATATCAATAACTTTTAATATACAAAAGAAATTTCAAAACAAAGAAAAGAAAAATCCATGTATATAAAATTTATTTGCAGTAATTGAAAGTTCAAAATCTCTTCTATTATTTATTAAAAAATCAAAAAAGATTCATCCTAAGTTTTCTAAGCTTATAACTATAACATACTACTGCTTGTATTTTCTAAAAAGTGAAGGTTTTTTTCAAATTACATCTTCATTTTACGTCAGAACATTTTCAAGAATACTTTATTTAGTCGAACAAAAAATTAATATTTCATTCTAAGACATAAAAATTAGGTAAAGAATTTTCCTTCTACCAAATAACGTATTCTTTAAAATGTTTAATGCACAATAAGTTCGAATGAAGCTTTTAGTTTTTAGATCGATGATTGAACAGATTTTAAGCTATCTAATGGTATAAATAAATTTGGTATAAGATTGTCTTTTTTTTAATTTTGTTTGTATGATAAAAGTTATAGATATTCAAATGATTTTGAGTCAGTGTATATGTATTTTTTTTTCTTTGTCTGCTCTTTTAAATAAAAGCACTAATGTGATAGTTTTATTTGTGCAAAGCTGATTACTACGAAAGATAATATTTAATAAAAAAAAAGTTTTTTTGATGAAAAGAAATATTTCTCAACATAAATGAGCGATATGTCTTGTAACGAAACTAACAATGATCAATTAAATAATTTCCATATAGATTCTTACAATACATTTTCTTAATTAGAATTTACTGGAAAAAAAAAGATATTTAAATAGAATATCAATCGTAAGCAACACTGAAAAATAAATAAAAATGGCAGCATCAATTATTTTATTCACAAAATCTTCTTTAAATAAAAGCTATTGATAAAACGTTGATGAAAAGTCGAAGAAATGTTTTAAAGAGAAATATGTGATGATATATATTAAAATCTCGTAATCTTTCAGATTCATATTAATGCTGCTAAAATCAAGGAGATAATAACTGACAAGGTGATTAGAATTGAACTGTTAGCTTCTCTTTTGAAATTTATTCAAGATCAATAATAACCGTTATTAGCGATTTGTGATGTAGGCCACGAACACACATAAAAAGGAGTCACATTTCAACTCACATGTTGCTATGGATGGTCTATTTTTTCAGTCACTCTGCTGATACAGGAGATGTTCACTTACTTTGTTCTCCATTTCTCCATCGTTTTAACCATTTCACTATTTAATGTTGTCCTCGTGTTCTATTTCTTATTAAAAAAGATTAATACAGAAAAGATGGAATAGCTAAATAACAAGAAGAATGCTAAAATCGGTCAATGCGGAAAAATCTTATGAAGATCATATAAGATCTTACTGATAATTGGATCTTATAGGATACATACTGTATGATCTAACACAATTTTATAATAAGACTGTTATTCATCACAATTTTGCCACAGCAGCCCACAACAATTCAATAATACCAAATAATACAATCATGTGATAATAATCACAATAACCAACACGTAAATATAAATGACCATAATGTCATTAGACACGAAAATTTACCCAAACATGCATAAAACCATCACATGTTGCAGCAAGTTCAACAAATAGATATTTAAATTCTCATATGTCCTACGATATAACATTATTCGATTTTTCTACAACAATAGTGTTTGGACTGCACAAGAGATAAGATGCTGTTACATTCATAAGGTTCAGTGATAGAGTATATCTGAACAACTCACATATGGATATTCGCAAAGTTTTTTATTGATAATGCCACGCAGGTTTGCAAGATTGTAAGAGAGATCGTCATCTCACTATTGAAAAATATTTTTAACTAACTTGTCGAAATTCTGTTGTTTAATGGAGATTAATTGAACGTTTAAATCTATCAATTTAAGATTGAATTAATGAATAACGACTTTTCTTCAATCAGTTTATATCATTTTTGATATTATTTAGTCACATTGTCTTTTCAGTATTAATCGTTTTTATAGGAAATGGAAAGCAAAGCAGCATCAAAGAGACGAGAACATCAAAAGGCAAGTGAAATAGGGGATATGATAAATATACAATTCTTGCGCCTATAAAGCGATCAATAAAGAGAGAAAGATAGAAGCGAGAAAAGCAACCGTCTTTAGCAAAATATGAGCTAGTACGTGGCTATTTTTTTGTGCATGTTCATGATTAACAAGCGACTCGTGAACAAAGTACATTGTTTACAGACCAATCGCCATAATTTATTGTTCAAAAAATAAAAATTTCATCGAAAAGAACGCGTGAATAATGTCTACTGGAATAAATGTAGATCTCATCGAACATTTAAAATGCAACGTTATTTCAAGTTTTCTTTAACATTTCATGCTAATTATGTTCTATCATCAAAAAATGAAGTTCCACTTTCCAATTGTGAGCTACTACCCGGTAAATTTTCTTGAGAAGTTTTATTGTAAGAAGAATTATTTTAGAATACTGCATCTGTCACTTGTGCAACAATGCTGCTTCCATTTCCTGGACGTTCTGATGGAGTTAATTGGGTAGGTTCGTTAGTTCTGTCTGTCTGTTGGACTGATGCAGATGACCAAACACTATTCGTAGTATTCGTTCTTTGAACTAATGATGGAGTTGGTTGGATGCTGTTGTTAGTTCCGTCTGTTTGTTGCATCGATATAGATGACCAAAAACTATTTTTAGTATTGATTGCCTCACCTACAAGTGATGTTGATTGGATATCGTCGTTCGTTTCACCTGTCTGTTTCAGCAATGTTGATGACAATGAACTATTGTTGGTATTAGCTATTTGACCTACTAGTGGTGTTGGTTGAGTATCCCTGCTAGTTCCGTCTGTCTGTGGCATCGATGCAGATGACAAAGGACTATTGTTGGCATCCATTACTTGGCATACAAGTATTGTCGGTTGAATATCATTATTTGTTCCATCTGTCTGTTGCGCTGATGTTGATGACCATGTACTATTGTTGGTACCCATTACTTGACCTACTAATGGGTTTGATGATATATCATTGTTAACTATATCTATCTGTTGCATTAATGTTGATGACGATAGACTATTGTTGGTATCAGTTCCTTGAACTAGAAGCGGTGTTGGTTGAATATAATTACTTGCTCCATCTGTTTGTTGAGTTGATATTGTTGATGATGGACTGTTATTGTTATCAACTGCTTGAGTTAATTGTGATGTTGATTGGATATCACTATTAGTATCGCCTATCTGTGGCATCAATGTTGAAGACACTAGACTATTATTGGTATCAGTTGCTTGACCTGTAAGTGGTGTTGGTTGAATATTATTATTTGTTTCACTAGTTTGTTGAGCTGATATTGTTGATGACGGACTATTGTTAGTAAGAGATCCTTGAGCTACAAGTGGTGTTGGTTGAGTATCATTGTTATTTTCGCCTATTTGTTGTGCCGATGTTGATGACACTGTACTATGGTTGATATCAGTTCCTTGAACTACTAACGGTGTTGGTTGAACATCATTGTTAGTTCCATCTGTCAGTTGAACTGATGCAGGTGGCGATGCACTATTTGTGATATTAATTTCTTGAGTTACTGATGGGATTGCTTGGATTTCATGATTAGTTTCACCTGTCTGTTGAGTTGATATCAATGACGATGAACTATTGCTGATATCAGTTCCTTGAGCTACAAGCGGTGTCAATTGAGTATCACTGTTAACTCCACGTGCTTCTTGCACTGATACAGATGACCAAGTACTATTCTTGATTTCAATTTCTTGACTTAAAATTGGTGTTGTTTGAATATCATTGTTAGTTCCACCTGTCTGTTGCATCGATGCTGGTGCCAACAAAACATAGTAAGGTTTACTTCTTTGCGTTTGAGGAAAATTACCGTTGACTATAGATGGATGCTGGTTTTGAAGCTCATTACTACTATCAGTAGTGTTTAATGGAACATTTTTAATAATTTCTGAATCTAATATGGGAGCTGTCGATGTAAGATATGCAAAAGAGAGAAAGACAAACAGTCTCGACACCATTGTTAATCGCAAGTTTATGCCGAATGATATGAAATATCTTGATAACATCATTGATTGAACGAGCAAAATATATATATAGACAGCACCAGCTAGCAATCTGTACTTTTAGAGCAGTTATAATGCTGTGGAAACAGCTGTATCATCGTTAAGCTAATAAATACGATGCATATTTATTAAGCAAAGATAGAACGATGTCAACGAGGATATTTTGTCATGAAAAGAAAAAAAAAACGACGTACTTTCTCATTATCATCATTAGTATTCAAGGTTATGGAGCTGTAGAATTTTGTCCATCACTTGATGGAATAATGATACAATAAAAGCAAATACGCTTATTTATTCAACTCGATATCATATGTTAATGCTTTCATGATAAAACAAAGATATAATCAATTCAGACATGAAAATTATCATTTAAATCCAACGACTATTTATTAAATATTGAAGATCTTAGTAATTTTTGTTTTGTTAGTCAACAAAATTGAAAACATGCCTATTTCATATTCGATAGGCAATATAATTGAGAAAGGAAAAAAAGTAGTACTTAAATAACCATATTATTCAAAAATTATCAATTGATGTATGGACCTTGATCATGAGATCAGAACAGTAGTTTATCAATGGTTATATAAAATCATTGAACTTCGTGTATTGTATGTTTTTTTTTTGTAACTTAACAAAACAAGCGGTAAACGTCATTGAGTAAAGCTCCATTGAATTTATTGATTACGAAAAACTAAATAGATATGTTTTGTCTCATCAATCTTCTATTATCATTTCCTTCCATTTTCATTTAGATATTGTTTTCCTTCATTTTTTTTTCTTTTGCAATCATTTAATTACATTGATATTTGCATCTTTTGTTGGTGTTATATTTCTCCGTTTTTGCTTTTGAATTTCTTTGCAGTATTACTATTCATATAATCCAACCATACTTTAATTATCACAAAAAAGCTGACGTTCTTCTTCTTTCTAATAAATGATTTTTTATATAATATCTAAAGTTCGAGACATCTCCACGATTATTCATCTTATAATTGAATACTATTCTTCAATTTATCTAACAAAGTATTATATGGAAAAAAAGTGTATGTATAAACATTATATGATTCATTATCAAAATAAACTAAATTTAAAAACAAAACCAAAGAACATAATTACAAGTATGCCAATAATAACTTTTTATGACAAAAGTTTCTTGCTAACATGGACATTGATTATTATTTTTTTTATTGACAGTATGATATTAGATCAAGTTATCTCTTCTGTTGAAAATTTCTACTATCGACTTTTCGAGCATGCATATGAGTGCAAATGTATTTATATCCTCCATCTGATAGGAATCTACTGACAAGCTATGCGACGGAGTCATAGTTCAGAAACAGAATTTATAGAAACATTTCTCAAAGTTATTTTTAGATGCAAATGAACTAAATAAACTTCCAATTCATGATGGAAAATAAACTTTTATAATAAATAAGTTCGACTTGTGCATTCATTATATTTTGGATGGTTACATATTAATTTCAAAGATTAGTGCTAATGACCCTTTTTCAACATATTAATATTCAAACAGAAATAAAACATCCTACGAGGCAATTGTGTTTTCATATTATTATTTTGTCATATATACTTGTGATGCCAGAGGATAAAAGAAAATTTATGACGCGCAAACATTCACTAATGTTCAATGCATCGTACTGAATTAATATATAATTAGTTACTCAAAAACAGAAAAAAAAAACATTTTAAACATTGGTTTCTCATACAAGTTTATTTCTTTACAGATACTATTCTAAACATTCTGATGTGGATTAATATAATAAATCATTTATCTCAATTATCGCCTTCTTAGATTTCTGTAATAGATTCTAAAACTCATAAACCCCTCGGCTCATTATTATTTTGAAAAATTCACGCTCGATATTATAAACCCGAAAAAATTATTATTCCATACTTTTATTCATGTAGACTGAGTTACGTTTTTACAGGAATATGCATACACATCTTATGGAACTAAAGCAACTCAACGATTCTATAGATATTAGAATATGTAATATCCTTCATACATGGGCCTGTAACTCAGGGGTAGAGTGTTCGCTTTGCATGCGAAAAGTCTTGGGTTCAAATCCCAACTCGTCCAGTCTTTTTTGGAATCTGTAAATTTTTTTTCGGTTCGTTCCTGTGGGTATGACAAAGCAAAGCGTTAGAACATATCAAACATGACTAGCTCGCTGGATTCTATCGACATTCGAAAATGCACTGTCTTTCACACATGGGCCTGTAACTCAGGGGTAGAGTGTTCGCTTCGCATGCGAAAAGTCTTGGGTTCAAATCCCAACTGGTCCAGTCTTTTTTGGCATCTGTAAATTTTTTTTCCGTTCGTTCCTGTGGGTATGCCAAAGCAAAGCGTTACAACATATCAAACATGACTACCTCGCTGGATTCTATCGACATTCGAAAATGCACCGTCTTTCACAGATGGGCTTGTAACTCAGGGGTAGAGTGTTCGCTTTGCATGCGAAAAGTGTTGGGTTCAAATCCCAACTCGTCCAGTCCTTTTTGGCATCTGGAAATTTTTTTTCGGTTCGTTCCTATGAGTATGCGACAAAAAATCATTAGAGTATACCAAACATGCCTCAATTTTAAGTTTTATGGATCTTCGTTCGTACATTTATATACATTTTTGATCTAATGCAAGTGTTTCTATTGAAAATATTAATAGTCATCTTTACAGTATAATCTCGTCCGTGTATGTATAGGTGTGATGACAATCTGCTGGAAGAAATATATTTAATAATAATTGTTAAAAATATTTCGTATCACTAAACTTCATTGCTCTTCTCTTGAACAAGACAATGTTATTTTTCTTCATATAAATAATTAGATTGTTTTGGTTTTAACAACGGATTAATTTTTCGTTATAGAAGCAGATATTGTATTGTATCTTTCATTTGATTCGTTTGGCGATGCAAGAATTTTAATATATGTGGAAATACTTCGAGGAGATGGGCGAAACCTACTGCTTACCTATGAAGAGCTGTTGTTAGGGGATGCCAAGAGGTATACTTTCTCTCCTTTGTTCTGTGTAGATCATGTATGTTTTCTCTAGTGAATTTTTGACTCTATATCATCCTCTAGTAAATTGCCTGCGTGTCTCAACTCTGATACATATATATTTATATTTATTGCTTGCAACAATAAACACATTCTATATATGCATTAGATAAAATTTCTGTTCAGCTCAACTGGTTAGTGGTGGAGTATCTTTACATAGTTTTGACGTGATCAAATTAAAAATAAATAAGTTTCAATGAATTCTTTATTTTTACTCTGCTTATTGTATGAACAAACTTTCTGAATTCCAAAAGTACGATCCCTTATTTTAGGCGTTTATAATTAAACAAGGTAGTTAGGTTTCATCGATGATTTACACTGTATCTTGGCTATTTTTAAAGATATCGCGCTTCTGACGGTTTTCTCATCCTGTCGATACTAATAATCAAGTGGAAAGTGAATTCAATTTGTTTGTCGTGCTAAAATTCATTATCACAAAGAGGATCGCTTCGTATTCTTTTGGAATTGAACGTAATCGACGTAGTTTTTAAAATGTTCGAAGTGAACCGATCCTATCTCTATATATTATAATGGTAAAAGAGGAAATAAAAGAAACCTGTTAGTGGAATCTCTGTTGGATTAATATGTGAAGCATGATGTAGCTGCTGCTGTTAATTACAGGAAGATTGATGTATTCTATCTATTTTGAGGCACATTTCTTCATCATTGTTTCACCTAATCCTACAGAAATGCAAGAAGGAACTAGTTCATATATTATAACACTATCTTTGATCGATTGTCAACAACGTCTGTCATGGTCTGTAATGAGCAAAGGATTAGAAATAACTCCAACATTTTTTTTAAATGCCGTTGAATTATGTGTTTCAAAGGTAAAATAATATGCCACTTCGTCAATTAAAGAATAAATAAAAACTACTGTCGAATTATCTTATTGCAACTAATGGTTCAGTCATCATTGATTTAGCTTTGATCAAAAATTCTAATAACGTGACTAGCAATTTTATAAATTACTTAACATCAAAGAGTTTGTTGCATGAATAAATAGTCTAATGCCTTGTATATAATTATATATAATGACACTATTTTTGGGTTAAGTTCTGATATTCCTTCAAATACAATCCAATTCTTCCTACAAAAATTTCGAAAAACGATTAATAAGTTTAATCAATGTTTTATTAAATTTCGAACAATTTTGAGAATATATGCGAAGACAATACAAGAAAAACTTACAAGATCATTGAAGTCTAATGCTCCATCAAAATTCAATAATTGCAAGATGAATACGGTGTTCTGATGAAGGAAAAGAAGATTTAATGATACTCGTATTCAACTTATGAGAATACTATAATTGAGACATTGAATGTCTCATTAACTCGATGATGAGCAAAAGTAAGAATGAGTTGAAATTTTTGGTGAAATGTCGTGATGAATCATGACAATTATGGAATGTGATGACAGGTGATAAGGCATAGTTTTATTATAGACAAATAATGTGCAAGTGGACTAACGCAAATTGGACTAGTGAAAACGAATCACCAACGACTATTGTTCACTGAAATAGATTTGAACTACAAAGTTTGTTTTCTGTATTCTTTGAATCAAATAGTCCTGATCTTATACATGATGTAGATAAAGGCGAGACTACGGTTCACAACTATCATATTGAATATTGTCACAAATCTGTTTTCAATGAAATATAGTAATATAGAAAGTCA